AGACAGGATCAGAGCTTGCATAACGAAAACTCGGTACATCAGCGAAAGCTATAGCCGACTGGTAATTAGGAGTTCAGGATGACATATAAAATGTAGAGTACAAAGAAGCCAAAACAACCCTAGTTTTGATCAAATGTAGAATTAGATCCATATTAATAAAGCCAGAAAACTGAGGTATATTACTCTGTCTATTATGGAACATAAACGAGTGAGCGATGTTCTTAAAAAAAGATGGAGATTCTGCCTGAAAATATATCGGCCTTTAAGCCCAGAACACAATCTGGCCGAGGGGAGGGACTCGACAGGCTGAACCTGAGCTAAATACCCCGCGACAGTTTTTTAAACAATGCTACTTGAATCACTCGATTATAATTTCAATATTGAGTATTGATTTTTGCTTGTACAGATGTATCGAATCCAGTCGTGCCTGAGTGTGATGTGATGATTGCAGGTGCATTTACATGGTTATGGAGCGATTTCAAGTAGTGTGCGATTAGTATGTTGAATTGACCGAAGGGTGGCACGTTTAAGTGGCCCTGGGACAGCCGCGGCTATCTGGGCGCGCGCGCGCGTGTACGTGCGAGTGGAAGTCGGTCAAGGATGTTCAGGTCAGCTAATGGGAAACAACCACCTGCGGAAACAAATGACGTTTGAGGCGGCGGGCATCGAACAAGAGAGGGAGCCAGTACTGTTGACTGTCCGCCATAGCTATCGTTAGGTAATTCGTGCGAGTTTTCATTTGACAACCTTTAAAACTATGTAGATACATAATAATTGGGGTCAGTAAAGTCTTGTATTAGCAAGAACATTTCAAGGTTTTGGGTCAAGGCTACGTCATATTCTGCGACCTTTAAAGCAAGCGACCGATATTTAAAGAAACCAGCACGCATTAAAAGGAGCACCGCTTTGCGACTGCAAATGCTACAAGCAGAGCCTGAGGACGTACTTGGCAGGCAAAACGGATCATCAAGTTCGTCAGCTGGTCGCGATCTGTCTTCTCCATCTGTGTGTTGGAGGCCTCGGTGGACTAAAAAGTATAAGAACATGAACAGACGGAAATCGTATGGAAAAGGTTTCTCAGAACGGAAGTAAAATCTGAAAATCTTCTGTTTGCACGAGTCTACACAAGCGACAAATCCCGACAGAAAGTAGGACTCGTCGTTGCACTCCTGCTCTCAAAAAGTGAGGTGGGTTTTGTTCCGATGTACATAAACTTGCCACATTGCGCGTTGACAGCCCTCTAAAATAGCAGCTTGTTCACTGTGGGCCGCATTTTTCGCAATCGGGCGCAGGTGAGGCAAGGATTATTAAAGAGAGTGCAAGAATTCGGGATGCCTCAAACCCCGTCTGACTTACAGTAGACGTTTTTTGTGCCACGGGTTCAACACCGTCCGTGGCGTGCAACGCCGACTCGTTAGCCTCCGCTCGGCTTTTTTGGTGCCAACGAAAGGCCGTATCGATCATGTCCAAAATTAGTCGACGTTGGTCAATCGGAAGCTGATGGCGGGATGGGAGCAACAATTAGAATGTTAAACAATAAAAAAGAATAATGAAATAATTTTGATACTACTATGAGCAGTGCCGCGCCTACCTGCTGCGCCGAAAGACGAGTAATGATGACGATGATAAGCTTGAGAATATGATGGCGGATGGGGTAGTAGAGATCACCGTGACGAACAATTAGACTCCTAAAAATAAGAATAACGAAAGGCGGGTAAGAGCATGGAGCCGATGAAAAAAAGAAATACAATGAGCGTGCGCAAACAATAACTGCTGACACAGCAAGGGTAAGCTGTCTCACGGAAAATTTGTAATAATCCCTACATAGCCGGGAAAATAAACTCTCGAGAATCGAAGCAAAGCATATTTTAGTATGGGTTGAGATGGTAGGAGAACGTACAAGATATGAACACACGACTGAATTCCGTGATCTTCCATCATGATCTTCTTGGTGCTGAACGCAAGCGCTTTCTGAAAGGTAAAAAGGTAAGAACCATTAGTTTGTGGGAAAAAAAGATGAAGAAATTATCCGCAATGAAATTGGTCCGAAAGGCCTGGCGTATTCTAAAGCTCGTAGTTAATTTGAGAGCAAACTACGGTGCCATGGAACAAAGATTTTCAAAGACGATGCCCAGAAGGTGAGTTAACTCTTCTACGGTCAACCGAAGAGTCCTTTAACATTCGGCCTTGCAGCTATCCACCAACTATACAAGCCAGGGCATCCTACAAAAATCCCTACAAATCTGTAACAAGAAAGGCGGTTGGGCAAAAGAGCACTGGCATCCGTTTTCAAGAACCAGAGCCGAACAGTTAAGGCTTAAGACTGAAGAGTATTCAACGACTGAGTTTAAGCCGACAGTATGGATTACGGGTAGCAGATAGTCAAACCAGAAACTGAAAACCTTTTTTTATCTGCAGAAATCGAACACTTAGAGTTAAAAAGTTGTTAGATAGAAAGCCTCCTGCTAGGACATTGTGCCTATTTCCTAAATTACACGGCTAACATCTCCCCAAACTGAAGACATCGTAGAAGAACAGCAAACAATCCCCAATTATTGCCGTCTAAAGCACAAAATCCAGCATGAATAGCTCACATCGAAGACAAAAGACCCAGTAGGAAGGTCTCATTAGCGACCAACGTCATGGCAAACAAAATTCAGACGGCTGAACAAGGGTAGTTATTTTGACTTCCCAGGGGCGGACGATTAGCAAGATTTAACTACTGGAAACACGCTCTACTAACAAGGAAGTTCGCTGCGACTGATACTATAGTAGAGGTCCTTTGTTTCGAGCCTTACGGAGGAGGCGGAAAATGAAACTCTGCCGAAGAGGGATGTTGTGTGTGTGTGTGTGTGTGAAAAAAATGAAAGATCACAAAAGATGAGAAAAGAACTGCAGACTGAAGCAGTACGGGCGACAGAAGAGGGCGTACGATCGATAGGACTTACCAGTTCTTCAGGATCGGTGACCCAGGCCGGTAGCAGCATGTCCAGAACCGGATTGACAATCTTCCTGGTCTCGATGTGAGTGCCCTTTGCAAGGCACTGAAAGACCTGGGGTGCAGCCTTCTTGGCGATGGGAAACTTGGCAATGAGGTGTGCCAGCACCTGAAGACCTGTGTACTTCTCCTGCAGATCCACAACACTCAGACTGCTGGAGACACAGGGCCAAGCGAAGGCGGTAATGCTACGCAGACGATAACTCTGCGTCCTAACAAGGAGA